ATGTGTTCAAGGGAGTTTGGTTTGCGGGATATACGGAGGAGCCGTATACTTTCAAGGTCTTGGGTAAGAGCCATGGCCGGTTACCGGTTCTGGTCGCGGATTTCTTGCCGGACGGTGAAGATCTGGCTATTGTTGCGGCGGATGCGGATGGTGATTTACATATTCTCGACTTCAACCCCGAGCGTAAGTTCTCTCCTTCACATAAACTGATCAAGTACTAACAAACTACAGATCCTAAATCTCTTCAGGGCCATCTCCTCCTCCATAGAACCTCATTCTCCGTCTCCCCCAACCCCCCCTCAACAACACTCCTCCTCCCACGAACCCTACCACCCTCCCACCCCTCTCCCCAGGACCCTCCTCACATCCTCCTCCTCGCCTCTTCATCCGGCCACCTATCAACACTCGTCCCCCTCCCGGAGACAACATACCGTCGTCTCCTCTCCGTAACAAACCAGCTCCTCCCCGCACTTACACCGCATGGCGGATTGAACGCCAAAGCGCATAGATTACCAGATGGTATACGACCTGTAGGCGTAGAAGCAGCTGGTGGAAGGGCGATTGTAGACGGTGCTGTTCTGGCGAGGTGGGCTGAGCTTAGTGCTGCGAAGAGGGCGGAGATTGCGGGTAAGGGAGGATATGACGGTGTTGGGGAGTTGAGGGAGGAGCTTGAAGGTGTTTTGGGATGGAGTGGATTGTCGTATTTCTAGATATCTTGGACAATTTCATAAGTGGCTGGTTAATATATAGCTTAAATATGCATGCACGGTATTGCAAGGATAAGTTTCCAGGCGGTAAAATTGGAACTGAATATCACGGTCGATATAGATTCTCACTGGCATCTTCACAAATAATCGTGTGTGAATGTCAAAAGTGTCTTTTCAAGGAGTGGCAGTGCAAACACAGCTGTATACATGCAGAAACCCATCTACAAGCCCAAAGAAAAGAGCAAAGAAAATGAGTAGTAAACGACTTTTGTTTTCCCAAGTCTGAGTCTGTTTCTTCCATAAATCCGAACAGGCCATAACCAAAACATATATCCTATAGCGCCTGTCGCATCAAGTCTTGACTAATTTTTATCGTCACTACTCGCCCAAGCCTTCTCCCGCATATATAAATCCCAGAAAGAAAACGCCAGTACGAATCCAAGCTATAATCACAAGAAAACAATATCACAAAGTTGGAGGTATTTACTCGACCTCTACCTTCTTGCGTCGCATGCTGCCGAAACGTCGTCGGATACCGTCGCTCAGGCGGTGCTTGCCTGTCGAGTTGTTGCGCCGAATGTCAGTGCCGTTTGAGAATTCAGGTGTTGTTCGTGGATTCTCGCTGAAGCTGCGGTTGTGGCTGAAAGGGGGGCGTTTGCTGCCTCGCATGTTTGATGAGAGCTCGTACTCGACGGGTTCACCTCGGCGGAAACGCTTTTGCTCCTTGAGGTCCTTCTCATATGTGTAAGAGGGCTCGCCCTTGCCCTTGAGGTCATCGGGGTGGTATTGCTATTCAGGTCAGCAACTGTTTAATGATCGCATCATAGAAGTGTCACTTACAATGCCATCCCAACGCTTGTATGCGCCACCAACAGCGTCAGGTTCTCTCATGAGATCGGCACCCTCTTCGTAATTTATGGTGTTGCCGCTAATGTCCCGTTCGCCGCTGGGAATATCAGCAGTGCCTTGGAGCGGCATCTTTTTGAGTAGAGCATCTTGAATGTTTTCTCTGGGAGTAGCGCGAAGAGCTTCTCGGTTCGAGTCTTCAACAGCAGCAACGGGCGAGTACATCTTGTTGCGGTTGCGGCTTGCCAGAGGGGCGTCATACGGGCCGCCATGATGATACATTCCGCCAATGGTGTCCAGAGCATCAATAGTGTCTGTCATGGGCATTTGCTTGCGACGAAGATGGGGGGCGCGATCGGCTGCGCGAGCCTCCTTTCTAAGGATGTCGAGAGGTCGATGAGACATGTCACCTGGGTATCGTTGGATCAGTGAGCGCTGGCGTGAAACTCCACAGTTGCTAGCACTGAAGCTGCGATTGTGTGAAACTTGAGGGCGATTACGCGGAGGCGGAACTCTAGCACTGGCTGACCGATTGACAGAGGACGTGAATGGGTCAGGACGAGTATCGGATGGACCTGGGGGAGAATCCGGGGGAGATACAGTCACTGATGGAGCTGAAGATTGACGACGCGCAGCTGCAGCGTCGGAGAACGGGTTCGAGGAATGGAAGCTATCGCGAGTTGGGCTGGCAGATGTTGGCGGAGTAGGATAGCTGCCTTGGCGATGTCTTTGACTCGAATGACTTGATTTGTGCCTGTGCCTTCTCTCGGGAGAACGGGCCCTGTTGGAGTTTGAGTTTGCGTTTGAACTTGAGCCTTCGAGAGAAATGTTTCGAAGTTGAGCAGCAAGATTGTGAGATGCGCCGATACCGGTGTCTTGATTTGGTTCAATATCGTTCAATGGGTCAAGAATGTAAGCCTTGGCCTATGCAATTGAGTCAGAATGTTTGCGATGAAGAGAATGGTAACTAAAAGGTTGAAGAGAGTGATTGCGCGAAGATATTGTGTCTATGTAAGTGGTCTGCCTCTAGAACGTCATCAGGCTTGCGTGGACAGCGGGCTGCGGTACAGCTACGTAGGAATAAAGTTACTTAGTCGTCTACTTGGCAAACACCAAGAAAACAGCCAAGCAACGTCAAGATTGGAGCCCGATGCAGGGATCTGCATTGACGCAACAAATACAGCGATAAAGGGTCCTTGCTGGGGCCCTGACGTTGTTCCATCATTGGCAGGCTTGGGATGACGTTGGGGAGAAGCGGACAGAACGTGATGGGCCCTGACCAAGAAACGGAAGAGGAAAAGACTGGGGCATGATGGACGTTGACATCCACGAGCTAGGTATCCTAGCTCACTCAGGTAAGGGTCCAAGAACTTACCCATTGCTTGTCGCTTGAATCCTTCATTGTGGCGACTGCTCTAGAAGGGAGAGATGGGTTCTGGGGAATTGTTTAGTCCCCTGCGAAAGAGTCGTCGGGTCTGTTGAGTCGAGAGGCCGAGGCGGGACGACAATGGTGATTGAGTGCGCTTGCAAGCAGATCGTATTCGAGAAAAATGACGGTTGCGACTTGGGCTTCTAGTCAATAGTGTAATGCGATTTCGCCTGGTTGTTATCGGGATCGATCCGGTAGTAAATGCGACGTATCAAAGTGATTGACTGATTGAATGTGTTTCGGTGTAAGAGACAGAGTTTGGGGGAGAAGAGACAAGGGACAGGGACAAACAAGGTGGGAGGAGATGCAGCTCATTTATCAACAACAGAAGGCACAGCACGCACAGCCTAATCCTTTCAAGACATGGGAACCCCAAGGAGAGAAAAGCTCTTTTTTTTTTCTTAGCTACCTACGTAAGGTACAGGACAGGTACGGCAGGTACAAGGCAAGAAAGTGAGGTAAGGTAGGGTAGGGTTGTAGATCTCTGAGCGGTCTCGTCCCCTCCAAACCATCATGCGCCCATTCAGAGTCTCATGGGGGGCACCGTAGCGCATCATTTAGCGGGGAGGGGCACTTCCCGTCTCCCTCGTGATCCAAATAGCACCTTGGACATGAACTTGTCCACGCCATGCAGACTTCAGCCGCTCCATCCGCTTTCTGGCTCAACGCTACCGACGCCTCTTCAAACGGATCAGGGACTTTTCCAGGTAGAGCCGTTCATCTGCTGTTTCCATCTTGGGCAGTACAGAAGCTAGAAATCATGGAGGAGGGGCCCAAAGGCACCCCAGACGAGTCACACTCAATTCAGTCCCGCACGTCAATGTCATTGTCATTGTCATTGTCAAATGTCAATCAGTGTCTCTCACACAAGGCTCGGTCGATCGGCCTCGCTCAACTTTACTCTCCCAATCGCGGCACACTCGGGAAGTAATGGTTTGAGACGACGTCAGCTACACGAGGTTTTGAAGCCTCAACGCGCGTCCCATCAAGAAGCCACAGATAGACTAAAAGGCTTAGCAGTGGAGTGGACGTAGGTATAGCATGAAGAAAGACGAAATGATGGAATGCCAGCTGTCGAACTAACAGTCAAGGGAACCTCGCCATTTGATCAGTCACCTGACGCATCAAACCCCCGTAGCCAGCATCTCGGTCACTGCATGCAAACCTTGTCTAAAAAGGGTCTTCGCCTAACGAGCTCGCTACTGCTTGTAGGGACTTTTTAGCCCGACAGATGATTAATAGTCTCTTCTCCAATGGAATGACTTCCCGTTGGTGTCTCAAAGGCTAAAAGTAACGGATGACAGCAAGTATAAAAGTCCATAATTATCGTCCGAAACAGTATCAAAGGTCGAAGCTTTGACATTCTTATCGCAGAGCTTATATGGACGGTAAATTCATCCTCGCGGGGTCAACAGACATGACCGATTGCACACCAGGAGAGTTGCATCTACTCTACACCCTCAGCTTCATATTTTTAGCCTCAAAGTTTGTACCTTTTTTCAATGACACCTCACTAGATCGTCCGATGTCTGGATATCTCGGCCAAGAAACTCTGCTTGCTTGGCTCCAGACCCGACGCATTTTATCACCCATGACGTCTCATTGCTACCCTACATCGATACGCGGATCAGCAGCAAATGTATGTATGTATCTGGATACCCGGCATCCCGGACATCGGATCTCTCCGTTGCATCATTGCCAAAATGACTCAGGCACGGCAGACAATTAAACCAGAAACTACTCCGTAGTACTACCGTAGATACTATATCATCACCGTTGAAACGGGTCTTGAAGTCAAGGTGAACGACGCTATCAAACCCCATCGTCGTCACCCGTCCGTTCACCTCGCCCCACTGACCGGGAATAATATTGCCGCGTAAAAAGACCAAACGCAATTCAGACAACCAACCTACGAAAGGCCGATTATCCGCTCTCAATCTGGAGATAAAGAAAACACCAAGAGATTACGTCTGTATGACGTACATAAAACTCCGACACGGACTATCGGGTTTGAATCAATGGCCCTTGTCGATTATTCCTCCTCAGAGTCCGACGACGAGAGCTCCGGTTCCGAATCCCACCGTGTCAAGCGCCGTAAGGGAGTTGACGGCATCGCGACCCACTCCTCCCGGAGCACAGATGGAGATGCTCGATCCGTGAGCAAAGATGCGGACGCTTCGTCTATGCCACCGTTGCCCGACACCTTTCATGACCTGTATGCTTCTACTGTTCGACAGAGTGTCGTTGATGATCCGAGCCTGCATCATGGGAGGAAGCGCCAAGTTCCTCATGTAGTTGGTAACTGGCCCAGCCATGTTTACATCGAGTGTGAGTTTCTGATGTCATCTCAACTTCAATCCATGTAAAGCTGACTTGCTTCAGGGCATCCCTCAACAAAACAGCATGGCTTATTGACGAGCCTCATAGCTGACATCGAGAAGGAAGTGTCAAGTGAGATCAAGCTTCATAACTTCTTGACAAGCGACCTGGGATCACCTCTACCCCTTCACATCAGTCTGTCTCGGCCGCTATCCCTTACTACAGGGAACAAGGACGATTTCTTGGACAAGATCACAGAAACCCTCGACAACAGTGGTATCGCTCCCTTTGTTGTTCGACCACAAGGGCTCGCATGGTACAGATCACCAGATTCTGATCGCACGTTTCTCATTCTTCGTGTCGCCAGTGGTCCCAAGTCTCCTGCCGACGGTAAAGATGGAGCCAGACCTTTGAACCCAGAACTCACTTCACTATTGACAAAGAGTAACACGGTTGCAACATATTACGGACAGCCACCGCTGTACCAAGGGAAAGCCAATGAGCCAGTGGGAGATGCGTTCCATATATCCATTGGCTGGACCTTTCATCTACCAGTAGATGAGATGTCACTCAAGACCCTACAGTTGTTTAGACAACCCAAGTTTGATGACATTAGGAAATGGGAGATTAGCGTTGCTGGCATCAAGGTCAAGATTGGAAATGCCGTGCATCACATTGGACTGCATGAGACTGGCCGGGGCGGAGGATCTTCGAAGCGTCCTTCTTTTCTTAAATCATGACATAGCTGGTTCCATGTCATCATCAATTGCAGTTTACAAAAGTCGTACGCTATTTATATCGAGAGAACAAACAGAAACCCGACGTCAGAACAGACGGAGTCATGTGTCCAAAAGGACGCCGGATCGCTCACCCCGGTGAAACGGGCGGATTGTCTCGGGATGGCTTGGACTGCGTTATCATTCTAGAAGATTGGGGTCATGAAGGTTCGGGTTGCTCTAGGCCACCGAGGATCGAATCAAGATATGGTGTTCTACTGGGCCAATTGAGAAAAAGCAAGATGCGAATCGGGTGTCTGCGGATTCTCAGCAAGCGACGCAGAACAAGACCGGATGTCCGGATAAGTCGCAGCACAATGTGACATCGTGCATACTGACATGATGTGACATTCGGCTTTTGAAAAGGGCAAGCAAGGGAGGGTCTGGAGCTGAGAAGAGGATACGCGAGCTGAGCTTGATGGAATGCGAGATGAGGCCGTTGCTGCAGCATGATATGAGTGCCAGCTTCGATACTGGACAGAAGAGGACTTGAGGGAAGAGAATAAGACATTTGTTGGAGCCACGTGCGGGAGTTTCATGACTTTTCAGCTTATTAGGGAGAGGGGAAAAAATGACAGTTGAAACTATTGTATTGTTATCTTGGCTATCTGCATTAGTGTCTTGTAGACTGCACCACTGGGTTTGAATAGCTTCACACGATGCATTGGCTATCAGAAGCAGCTAACGCACGGACCCCTTCTAAGATTCATGTGATTAAGTGGGCAACGGCAATGGGAAAAGTCCCGGAAACGCGTGGGCTTGTGTTATTCCACGGGCCCCAACTTCAACGGTCGTAGCTAGGTCCCCTGGATGGCGAATCCTTGTCAGTGAGATTGAGTAATAAACGACGTCGATCATTTGAATTGGAGGGGCAGATTTGATGTATGTAAAGAGAGGACGAGGTTTCATGTAAACAAAAGCCATGACTGTTTGATCGACATCCCATCAAGGGAAGTAACATGAGAGACATTGTGGAGGCTATGCTTGGGCTAGGAGAAACAACATGACTAGACAGAAGCCACTGATTGCCTGAATAGGCATCATGCTTGAGGTTGAGGCCTATTTCGAGGGTTCGTCATTCGTGAAGGGAAGCAAAAAGGAGGGGGATTTATTTGGTGTTGCTTGGGAGAGGTAAATGGTTTGTTTACTTTGTACAAGCCACACAAAGCCAATGCACCCCTCTTCACCACTCAGTGACCACTGAATGCCACTGAAGTAACCACCCACCAAATCAAAGCAGGCAAGGTTCCTTCCCGCCTCTGAGCGTGAACGCCGTTGGTGCTATCCCCATCTAATAATGCCTTCTATTTCAGGTTGACCCTCTCAATACCATCGCCAAAATCTTCCTTATTTCCTCTCCTGTCCTCCTCACCCTTTTTTCTTTTTCATCTGCACCTTCTTCCTCTTTCACTTCTACCCGCAAGGATTTACTGATTCTCTTCCATCTCGATTGACTCTTTTCATCGCAAGAGTCAATTCTGATTTTCTTCATCGGCTCTTTTTTTCACGTTCACCAAAACTTTCTCGTGCTTCTGAAGCGCGGCTTCGTTCTGTTTTCCTCCAAGGCTTCCCCCCCAAACCGGGTTTCTATAAGAGGACCCTCCCCCCGTCTCCATCCAAGTTTCTACCCCGGAAGATCTTTGACCGCCTCCGAGAAACCCAGCCTCGCGCTGCAAGATTCTACCTTCCCGCCGATCTCGCGTGACATCCGTTCTCAAAACATTTCACAGAGGTCCAGATTCACTCCGTCTCGTTCAAGGCTCAACAAACACAGTCGACGCAGCATTCACCTCGCAAAGCATTGGGGAAAATCGCGGACCTCTGTTTTTTGACCCGCACTTCACCAATCGATCGGCCGAAGCTCTTGTGCCCCTCCCCGCACCCTCGAGCTCTCTCTCTCCCCCCTCATCAACCAACAACACAACCGCCAAAATGCCTTTCGACATCGATACCGCTCGCCGAAATAAGACGCCTCGGCCTCTGTCAGACTCGGAGCGCGCTCGCGTGGAGGAGTTCATCGACTCGATCCACTACTCTGCACGGTACTCGGACAGCGAATATGAATACCGTCATGTTCAGCTCCCCAAAGCCATGCTCAAGGCTATTCCCAAAGACTACCACGATACCTCCAAGGGTACTCTCAAGCTCTTGTGGGAGGAGGAATGGCGAGCTCTTGGCATTACTCAGGTACGACTTCACGCCCTTGCCAACACGTGCCTCGATCGTTGGTGGGGGTGACGAGATTGCAAGCAATCAGGACTAACAACCGTGAAGAGTCTAGGATGGGAACACTACGAGGTCCACGAGCCAGAACCGCACATCCTCCTGTTCAAGTATGTTGTCATGGCAATCCCAATGCCGGGATCTACCTTGGATGTCTCTCGATGGCTAACGTGAAATTAGGCGACCGCTCAACTTCCAACCCCCCCAGTAATCGGCTAGACGCACGACTCAGATTTCCCCCAATGTACCATACATATTTACTGCACAGCACCCTTTTGTCGGTGCCATACTCAAGCTTAGACGGAGGTTTTCACGTCGGCTCACGATTTTACGGTTTGCACGTTCACGTTGAGATATAAAGAGAGAGAAGCAAAAAGAGACTTATTGGTTCATCAAGTTCGCAACGTCCCCGTTCATCCAGTCGGCAGCAGGCCCGTGGGCTTGTTATACCTATGCTATGATATGCGATACCCTATCGAGATGTAAAGGGGGGCGAATTACCAGACTCCTGGTTCCGAAGTCTGTGTATGACGCATAGACACTGAGTTGTTGTCCGAGCGGCTGGGCAATGGGGGAATTTGCATGACAGAGTGGATGGGCTACGGATGATGGGAGTCGAGAATTGGATCCGCCATAACCTAACGACCAAAGACGTGGGGGGAACGCTATAATACGGAGTTGGATCTGGGAACGATCCGGAAACGCGTCGCGCGTTGGTGTTTGGGCTTGGTTGGGCACTTCGACGAGTGGTTTGCTGGTTGTTGTTTCTAAACGTGTTTTATTTGTTGAATGTCTCTGATTTGGGGCTACACTTTTTCTGTTGGAGGGGAAGAAGAAGAAGAAGAAGGATTTGCTCAGTGATACCCCTTCTACAAGCGCATGATGGGACAAAAAATGGGCTTTGTGATGGAGGCTGGGTGCAGAAGTACGTGGAGATGGATGATACAGCATCGCATAATAATAGGTGAACAAAATGATCGATTTACAGTACATACTTGCGACGGTCCGTGGGCGATGGCCTCATTGTCGAGTTTGTGGCGTTTTGGTCGATCATCGGGTCCATGAATCATGGCTAGCTAGTCTTCCAGAGCCATGGATGTGAATGCGCCACAATTGTGAAACAGCGGGTGGGAAGTAACAAGGGAGAATGCCATACAGGTAGGTCTTGGTTGGATGGGGAATGTTGAGCCTCTCGACTTAGAGCTAGGTATTTAGAAATACTCACTAGAATACGATAATGCTCCGTTAAGGTGAGCTGATCCAGAAGCCACCGCCCGGCAGATCGTCTGATGATTTTGGTCCGAACTGTCCTAAATCCGCTAGGATGCTTTCAAATCAGCTCAGATCGGCGACATGCTTGGTAATTGGTGGTTTTGGACAGATTTCACTTACACCGTTACACTAAGATTATGCATACAATTCAAGTCGAGGGAGAGCATTCCGTCTTTGTTGGTATTGCGCGACTGTTTCAACTTGTCAAGATAATGTCCTTTCGTTTGTAGTAAATGCAGAGGCCTATTGAAACTCTCTGAGAGAAGCTTAATGATTAACTGTGACTGAACAAGATGTTCTGTGAGAAGAGACAATTCGGTAGAGTTCTAGATCATTTCTACTTCGCCTCACGGAAGTCGGAGCATTTCTGCATGTGTAGGCTGGTACCTACATCAACAGCCAGCGTGTCATCTTTCACTGAGTCCGTACGTAGCACACGAGCAAGTTTATTTATAAATCCTCCGCCTCAAGTAATCCAATATTTCTCGGCCCATGAATTCATTCTTTGTCTGAGTTTACTTGCAACGTCGCTTGTTGCATTGAATTACAGGTACCGTTCGACTCAATTGCGTCCATTCCTCTTTAGGAAAAGTGTCCATCGCTGCCCGCCGAAGCCGTCAACCCACTTTAGTCTACTTTACCTGCCGCTGGCTTACTTTCATACGTCGCTTCTTCTTTACACCACAACGACGACAGCTTTGAAGACAGGACTTTCTTTCTTTCTTCTGTTTGCATCATATTACTCTCTTACTGTCGCCTTTCACTCGTTGGCGATTGTAGCATCAAGGGCTTTGTCATATCTTATCTTTCGTTACACACAATCTGACACCTACGCCGGCTCGTCGCTTGAGCTTCTTCAGCGACAATGAAGTCTGCGAGCAGACTATTCTATCTTTCTGTGTTTGCCCTCTGGGCTGCACCTGGTTCTTGCGAGAGCTCTAGTGATGAATGCCATGTATGTTATCGCCACCTACGCCGCTGCGCAAACCATCGTTAACACGTTTCTAGATCTCGCCCAAGTCAATCGTTGGCGATGCCTGCGCTTCGTATGCGACTCTCGATAAACTCAACGCCCTGACTAAACCCGCCGTCGACGATCTCACCCACAACACCGACTTCTTCTCGCACTACCGAGTGAACCTCTTCCACAAGAAATGTCCCTTCTGGAATGACGAAAATGGCATGTGCGGAAACATTGGATGCGCGGTCGAGACGCTGGACAACGAGGAGGATATCCCGGAGATCTGGCGTGCGCACGCTCTCGGTAAACTCGAGGGTCCTCGTGCTAAACATCCGGGGAAGAAGGCACAGCGCCAGCATCCTCAGCGACCTCTTGGAGGCAGCCTTGGAGAGAATGTCGGCGAGAGCTGTGTTTTTGAGTACGATGATGAGTGCGACGAGCGAGATTACTGTGTTCCCGAGGACGAGAGCGCGAGCTCAAAGGGCGACTACGTGAGCTTGGTTCGAAACCCGGAGCGATTCACTGGATATGCAGGTGATGGGGCCAAGCAGGTCTGGGACGCCGTTTACAGAGAGAACTGTTTCCAGAAGAGCTCTTTCCCCAAGTCTGCCGATCTCGGCCAGTCTGGATGGAACCGCGGTCCTGCTGCCCAAGACTTCAAGCAGATCCTTGATGCAGCGGGTCGCCAGGCTCAGCTTGAGGAGCGCCGTCAGGAGAACCCCAACACTCCGTTTGTCGCAAACACCGGCTTCGAGGTTGACGACGAGTGTCTTGAGAAGCGTGTGTTCTACCGTGTCATGTCCGGTATGCACGCCAGTATCAGCACTCATCTCTGCTGGAACTTCCTGAACCAGACTACTGGCGAGTGGAGCCCTAACCTGTCCTGCTACGAACACCGTCTGCATAAATTCCCCGATCGCATTGGAAACGTCTACTTCAACTATGCGCTCATGACCCGTGCTATCGCCAAGGTTGGACCTTACCTCCAGAAAAAGGACTATAAGTTCTGTATGGGAGATGCTTCTGAGGACGCGGCCACTCGCGCCAAGGTCCTTGAGGTCACCGAGAAAGCTGCTAGTGTCCCTCAAATATTCGACGAGAGCTTGATGTTTGTCAATGGCGAAGGACCGTCTCTGAAGGAAGACTTCCGCAACCGTTTCCGCAACGTCAGCCGTCTCATGGACTGTGTTGGCTGCGACAAGTGCCGTCTCTGGGGCAAGCTCCAAACCGCTGGCTACGGCACCGCTCTGAAGATTCTTTTCGAGCTCGATAACAACAGCGACGACGTTCCCTACCTCCAGCGCACCGAGCTGGTCGCTCTCTTCAACACCTACGCTCGCATCAGCAGCTCTCTCTACAACATTGGCCAGTTCCAGCAGATGATGGAGGAGAAGGTCTTTGCGGAGAAGGAGCAGGAGGGTCTTGAGGATCTCAACAAGAACGAAAAGCTTAACAAGAAGTTCGAGAAGGAGGCTGAGGAGAATCCCCAGATGGACGACGCTGTGAGGGAGTTTATCGAGCTGCGACAGAGGGGTCCCAAGGATGACAGCACGCTGGCTCACATTGCATTCGAGCTTGCTCAATTCCAGGCTGCTATCAAGATCATTCTTAAGGGATGGATGCGCACGCCCAAGGCACTGTAAGTTTATACCGCTCTCCCGCCCAATCATGTACGCAAAGTCTAACAGTAACAGGTGGCGTGTTTTTACATCGGAAGTCTCGCGTCTTTACAGAGTTTGGGTCGGCCTTCCTGTCGGTCCCAGATGGTGGTCGATGCGGCTGCCTAACCTTAACGTGCCTCGGGACGAGCTATGAGATGTTACTGTATTAGCGGCTGTTTTCTTGCATATATAAAACCAGATTGCATTCATGGGCAGTTTTTTTTAGCGGTTGCTTTGCGTAGGGCATTTCGGTTGGCGTTGATCAGTGGTTCAGCTTCAAATAGCGAAGAAATTGTGTTCATACATTGGATGTGGTTGACTTTGAGTGACTGTGTACTACATGCTGTCTTTGTTCTTTGCTGAGGTGGGACCCAGTCAAAGGACGACAAAGAGCGCTGTCACCCTTCGCCTGTCTCGACGACAGCTGCTGAATTGACTTGTTAGCCTGCATGACCCGTCACTTCGCTGGAGATGTTGCCTGTGGCGTTGTGTTTGGCCGAAGGCTGAAGTCTATCAGTCATTATATACCATGAGTGACGACGGCCTCCTCCACGAACGAAGTGTTTGAGGCATCAATGGGACGGGCGATGAATCAACATATCACTTCTGAAGTGCCATTATCCCGCCAATACGCACTGGACTACCCGCTACAAAAGCCCAGCCATATCCCATCCTCCAACATCACGATAGCTTACACGTCCAGCCACACTCTCCCTCACCGTCCATGAAGCTCGCCCACGTTCTGCCCATCCTTAGCCTCGCCGCGCCAATCGTATGCAGGCGCAAACCTGAGACCTGGCCTCCCGGCTTACCTGGGGATGACATGAAACATTTGGGTACCGACAAATATATCAGGCCTCCCCCAGGTTGGAAAGCGCCATCGAAGAAAGAAAAGAAAGCGAGAGAAGAATGGATCGCAGTCCACCGAAGCGTCACCGAAGCACTTGAAGATTTCATGTTTGAGACGACGCGGCCAAAGGCTCGGGACGAGGAACAGCTTAATCTCAGAATGCTGAGCGTGCAAGCGGCCACGGCGAGAGCGGCAGATGGAATTCTTACGCTGGACGGCCCTTATGTAAGCTGGTTGCGCGGGTTTGGAGAAGGGTTGCTGAGTGAGAATTGTAGTCTAGGGATTCATGTTTTGATCTACTGCATTATTTTCCCAAGGTGAGAATACTCGCGACTTGGAGATGGGGAGTGGTAGATACTGATACAGTGTAAGATTGCTGAAAAGTGCGAGAAAGCAATGATGGCTCTTGATGCTCCGACGCTCGCGTGTTCAGACGCCCTCGGTAAAGAGGACAAAGGGAGATTGGCAGAAAATATACGGGATCTCAGATTGATATTCGCAGTACGTATCTACTCCCCCCCCAAGCTTCCTCATTGTGACTGACGGGTTTTGGCAGGTGTATGACTACAACTTCAGCCAGAGATGTGTGAATGAAGAAGTAGGGTCTCCGTCTTTGCCACTACCACTAGTCGAAGATATACTATGGCATTTTAAGATGACTGCCGAGCGGTATGCGGGCATTGGTGAGTACTGTAGGTCCAAGGGTTTGAACTCTTCTGATATTGGGGAGTGGTGAGTAGTGGCTTCAGCTGGTTCAGAGCGGCTGGGAGCTGCGAACTGGGGGATGGTTGATTAACTTTGAGGCCCCCAACCGAGGAGCAGGGATGATGCAGCTGGGGTGCAAGGGACAGACAGTGAAGTCACAGAGAGAGAAGAGAGATTGTCGTTCAAGACTGGAAATTGGAATGGACAATTGAGGCCAATTGAATGAGTTTACTGTCAAAGAATAAGCATAAGTAGGGAGTCTGCTCATTGTGGATTATATCATCATATCCTATCAAACCATAAGCCAAGCCCAAGACCAAGACAGACTGCTGTACGTCAATCACACAACCTCCCCCTCAACACGAATCATAAATAACTGTATCCTGCCAAAACCTGACTCCAACTTTCCGAAAAAGCAAGCATACATAATTAAAATTTGTTATTTCAAGGTCCTTTTGCACACAGACACTCCCTCACTCCCTTTCTCCACATGCATGTGATGCTGAAACAGCGGTGTTTGCCAACCCAGCATCACACACACACAGCCAATAACGTCACATAATCCTGTCAATTGGTGTGGTTGCGCCCTACCAGGCTGGCGGTACCTAGGACGAACCCCCTTTTACCGACAGGTCGGTTCTGCAGGCTGTACGAGGAAGGTGACAGCATACATGAACATGAACTCGGCCCCCAAATCTCTCACTCTCACGAAAGATGCTGTTTTTGCTCTTCAAGCTGCTTAACACGGTCAATTCCTCCGTCTCACCGCTTCGCATTCCCCGAGTATCTTCGGCTTCAAGGGACCAGATTGTCCAAGAATAGATGATCGTCCGCCAAAGAATTTGGAGTTTCAAGCCTCCTCCTCATCTGCTGTACAGTAGTGTTAAGGGCCACCCCCTGTGAACCAACCTCGCGGGCTCGCTTCTAGCTTCGTCTCCCCGGTCGCGGATGTGATTCCGGTGCATGGGACGGGTCCCATCCTGTTGGGACCAGGCACTTCGAGTCCCAGAAGTTCGGGTCTGGTTCCCCTCTGTCGGTAACGGGAGGAGCCTTTTTTGTGCTTGGCTGTTATTGGAAGGCCCTTATAACTAGCTAGCTGGTCCCCCTAGGATATGCGTCCTTTGCAAACGGGTTTTCATACTTTGTTGAGTCAGTTACCATGCATCATCTCTTGTCTGGCGTTGGTGGTTCCTGTGAGTCGACTGAGAGAGTCAACAGTGTGGCGAGACGGGATAGCAGTATTTCTCTTGAGGAGAGTGCCTATACGCGGTATGTTGGTAGCTTTGTTTGCCGATGAGGACTAATCGCTGTGAGCAGGGGCAATCCTGAGTCTACAAGGACTCCCCTCGTTCCTCTTGAGAGTCAAAAGATCGAAGACTGCCATGATCCCAACGCAGGACATGGATGTACCCTTCCCGTACCCAGTCCCTCTTCGTCACCGTCCGTCGGGACACCAATAGATGTCTATCTTCGGTGCGGCGAAAGTCTCGAAGCTAGGTTGATAAGGCTCGATGCAATCCTGTCTCAAGGTAGACAGACATCTGAACCAGAGAACATATCTCTGTCACCAGAAGGCTCAAGCTGGGATGTCATCAACACCCCGCAAACACTTGAACCAAAGGTGCCAAGCACTCCTGTTCTTCAGCCTACACAGCTCCCCAAGGCGACAGATCTTCAACCCACAACGACAGACCCAGACGTCGAAGTGGGAGACAAGATATCCGTCGATTCAAAGACTGTGTCTGACCTCCTTTTGTCGGATGCCTCGCAAATGGCAAGTGACAACACAGAGTGCAAAGAAGCTTTGATCAAGTATCGCAACTCGTATGCGACATCTATCTTTCGATTAGTATTAGGCTAACACTCTATAGGCGTAAGGAAAGGGCCCGCGTTCACAAGGGCCACAAGAAGCGAAGCCTCAAGAACAGGATAACCAAGAGCAAGAGTGCCTGAGGCTGAGGTGGAATGGACTGACCTGTAGGATTGTTTGTGTGTACCTAGACCTTAATGTAAGCAGTTTCTGAATGCATTGTTTTCTCAAGCTTCTTCTGTGCACTGCGTCAACTAAGGAGTTGTAGTAGGTACAGTCTCCTTGTCCTTGACAACGTCAATAGCAAGAAGAAAAGAAAAGAAGACCAGCAGAAGCTAGACACGTTAGTCACACATTACCAACCCCTCAGTGATACATACCAACATGCTGCATATCCCCAAAAGGTGAAGCTCAAGCCCTCCAACCAACGCCTTCCCACTCATCATAGTCCGTTGATGTCTCCAGGTCCGCACCGCACCGAGAAGTATCGTCCCAATCGAGAAGGAATAGCAAGTCATGGCCAACGGCTTCCCCGTGACGAAGTATCCAAATGCCTGATGTTGACCCTCATGCTGCAGAGAAAACAGCTGTGCTACCACCGTCCCAACCATTGACATGGCGACTGATGTACGAAGATAACCCAGAAACGTTCTCTCGTTGGCTATAACCCCACGTCAGTAACTCTCAACTATATCGCGTCAGTGCATATCAGAAGCCCACCCCACGACCCGAACCACACCCTGTATGCATTCCCATCTCTCAAGCCCACATCACAAGACCCCTTTCCTCATGCCCGTCAAAGATCTTCCTCCAATCTCGTTCCAGTTCCCTTCGGTGCACATACCTAGATGATCCCTCGACGCCGAAAAGTCAACCTCGCAGCTCACATACTCGTGCCAGAACCTCCCCAGCCTCGACCTCTTCTGCTCCTCCTCCTCCTCCTTCTGCGGCGCAGCGGAGACATCTCCACGCGCGGAGGTGTTGCTGTTTCGGGGCCTTGTATCTGAGCTGTTTCCATCCGACGTCTGAGAAGGGCGATGGGATGGGGGACGATGAGATAGGTCTTGCAGGGAGTACGATGAGTTTGACCTTGAGCGAAGCATGCTGTGATATGCGCGGATATAGGACTAATCTTGTATATTGGACTGGGGTTTCTTTGATGTTATGAGATTGGTTTGGTTTAGTTTGCGAGTGTCAATTGTTGTCCAGCACGTGCGGATGTCGGCGCGTGTAAGCGGATGCTTCCGATAGCCTTGGGCGCCGAGCCGGCCCCTCTTAGCCGGAGGACACACGGAGCATGGGGGATCGATGAGCCGGAATATCTGAAACATTACTCGATTGGGACGTAAACATGAGAGTAAACATTACAAGTGAAACATCCAATATCACTAATAGACAATACATCGATCTGTTGGCAATTGTTGTTGACAGTAGGAGCTAGCTCACCTCCGTATGACACGTTAACATTCCAACACCTTTCATGTCAAAAAACAAACTACGCACTAACAATCAAAACTCAATGATCTGCTTCCACCTGCATCGGCACTCAAACCGGCTCTCGTACCAAAATACCCCATCCAGCAGCCCGGAATCTATCTCCCTAAACCCCCATCATCAGCAGCATCCTCTTTTAAGCCAAGGCCCGATATCCTCCCCAAGTGCCGAAACTTCCACATACGGCAACTGCAACGAAAAAGACACATTTGGCTTCCATTACATACGTAAAAGTCATGGTTTTTTCCTCTTTAAATACGGTAACGGAAGGACTTAGCTGGCTTTCCGAGTTCCCCGGCGGTGCGCTCCGACCGACGTTGGGAATAACGGCCCGCAGACCCGTATTTCCCGATTCGTCCACTGCTGCTTATGTCCCAGGCTGTCGGGTTCGCTTCTCTGAGTGTAAGCCCATCATCATACATGAGAGTCGTAAGGAGGAGACGTCCCTCTCAGCTGAGATCATAAAGATAAGACGATTCACAACATCATATCACTTGCATAAAACATGTGAACTATCCACTTCTAATATATTATTCATCGCACCACGTGTTCTCTCTCTCCTTCTTATCTCTCTCTCCTCCCCCCGGAAGCGCCGGTGTCGTCTGCCGCTCTCACGGTCCGTATATACCGGCATCCGTCTTTTTCATCTCTGAAACCAAAAATACCAAAGTTCCCTATTGGGGTTATTTCACCGGCCTGTTCAGCCGGTCCGTCTAAATACAAAGAGGTCAACCCTGCTGCGGGGCTATCTCTGCTGAGTTACTGCTTATTAGTGAGCGGATGCCTATCTTGACGGATACACATTGAACCCTTGTTCCCTGCGATCGCGAGCTTAAGTCAACCGATTGTGCTTTTTTCTTTTTTTGCTTATCCCGTTCGCCTCATATTGCTTGGCTGCAGATGACCTTATGTGCCGCTCGCGTACGTTGCTTGCAGATGGGATGGTATAAGGGGGGCTGCTATCACATTTTGGGTTCTCGTTGATACACACTCTTCTTTTCGTACCTCGGTTCAACTTGCATATGCTGTCTTTGTTCAACTTTGTATATCAGACGTGAAGCACGGCGTAGCAAGACAACATCATACATGACGATTCTAGCATTTGTGGTAGCACAATGAACGACTCAAACACCCCATCTACTCCTGATACGGAGTACTCTGCTCCATGCAGTCCCCAGCAAAAGATTCAGCATCTAAGAGATACTCGCTCCGCAGCAAGAGAGAAGCTGGCTAGGCTGACGCTGGTGGAAAAGGCATGAGTTGTTGGTTCTTTGAGTGGTCATACACTAACCCTTCTAGGTCTCACTCCTCACAGCCGCCGACTTTTGGAGAACGAAAGCTATTCCTGAGAAGGGCATCCCTTCAATCAAGACGACTGATGGTCCCAATGGCGCTCGCGGTGGTATCTTTGTCGGCGGCACCAAGGTTGGTGATATTGCCCCGAAATCACAAGGATAATTGAAACTGAACGTGTAGGCTGCACTATTCCCTTGCGGTATCTCACTCGCAGCAACATGGAACAAAGATCTTCTCTACCAAGTCGGGCAGCATCTAGCGCTTGAAGTTCGAGCTCGATCAGCGGAAATGCTTCTCGCTCCAACAGTCTGCATGCACCGCCATCCCCTCGGCGGTCGTAACTTTGAGTCTTTCTCCGAAGACCCCCTTCTCACTGGAAAATTGGCAGCACAGTACATCAAGGGTCTTCAAGACAGAGGCGTTGCAGCGACCATCAAGCGTAAATACCATCAGTGACACTAATTGGTAGGAATGCGCTGACATGGCCATAGACTTCGTGGGAAATGAGCAAGAGACCAACCGGCTGACGATAGACTCGCTCATCACGGAGCGTCCCCTTCGGGAGATCTACCTGAAACCCTTTGAGATTGCTGTTCGAGAGGCTAATCCCTGGGCTGTCATGACTTCGTACAACCTAATCAACGGCGTCCACGCTGATCTGAACAAGCACACACTGAAAGACATCCTCCGAGGAGAGTGGGGATACGAGGGGTAATGGAACCATCGTATGTCATGGAATAACACTGACTTGTCGCAGAACTGTGGTTTCCGACTGGGGAGGCATCAACTCATCGATCGAATCCGTGGAAGCAGGGTGCGATATCGAATTCCCCTACTCTTCCAAATGGCGTCTGGACAAGCTCGTCACAGCCGTCAATGAGGGTCGCATTTCGATTGAGGATATTAACCAAGCAGCTGAGAACGTACTCACGTTGGTGGAACGACTCAAGGGAGGTGATATGTCACCCGAGGCGCCTGAACGGGAGGATGACCGCGAGGAAACGAGGGAACTCATCCGAACCGCTGGCCACGAAGGTCTTACACTTCTCAAGAACGACGGTGGCATTCTCCCTCTGTGTCCCAGATCTACCAAGGTCGCTGTAATTGGACCGAACGCCAATCGACATATTGCAGGCGGTGGTGGAAGTGCAAGTTTGAACCCGTACTACAACACCATTCCGCTTGACAGCATCCGAAAGGCATCCAAGCAGAAAGTCTCGTTCGCCCAAGGTTGCCATATCCACAAGTGGCTCCCTGTCGCATCTGAGTACTGCACCGAACAGTCAGGCAAACCCGGCGTTCACATCGACTGGTATGCGGGTGATAAGTTCGAGGGCAATCCAGTGGTGAAGCAGCGCCGAACAAACACAGATCTCTTCCTATGGGACTCGGCGCCCCTGAGTGAAGTCGGTCCCGAATGGTCTGCCGTGGCCACGACGTTCCTTATGCCGAGGACAACAGGCAAACACACCATCAGCTTCATGAGCGTTGGGCCCGGAAAGCTCTTCATCAATGACAAGCTGGTTCTCGATCTGTGGGATTGGACCGAAGAAGGCGAGGCGATGTTTGATGGATCGATTGACTACCTTGTTGATGTCGACATGGAAGCCGACAAAGCTGTTGAGCTGCGCGTGGAGATGACGAATGAACTTCGTCCCATTTCGAAACAGAAGCAGTTCGGCATCACCCACAAATACGGCGGCTGTCGTATCGGATATAAGGAGCAAGATCAGGTAGATTATATTCAGCAAGCAGTCCAGACGGCTCGTGACGCAGATGTCGCTGTTGTTATTGTTGGAGTCGATGCGGAGTGGGAATCGGAAGGGTACGATCGTCAAACAATGGATCTTCCTGCCGACGGAAACCAGGACAGGCTTATCGAAGCTGTTGTCAAAGCTAACCCCAAGACCGTTGTCGTCAACCAATCCGGCAGCCCGGTGCATATGCCATGGGTCGATCGAGTGCCTGTAATTCTTCAGGGCTGGTACCAAGGACAAGAAGCCGGCAATGCCCTGGCGGATGTCCTCTTCGGTATTGAGAACCCAAGTGGCAAACTCCCAGTAAGTGATCTTCGCCCATCGTGTATTCCACGCTGACACCAAGCAGAGTACATTCCCCAAGCGAATCGAGCACACCCCAGCATGGCACACCTGGCCTGGCGAGAACCACAAAGTACTGTACGGCGAAGGTCTCTACATCGGCTACCGACACTACGACCACGCCAAGATCGAGCCTCTCTTCCCCTTCGGCCATGGCCTCTCCTACACAACCTTCGAATACGGTCGCCCCGAGATCTCAACGAAGACCCTCACTCCCGATGGCGAAATCAAGATCACCCTCGCCGTCTCCAACATCGGAACTCGCGCCGGTGCAGAAATCGTGCAGCTCTACGTCCACGATGAAAAGAGTCGCTTGCCACGACCTGAAAAGGAACTTGTGGCCTTTGAGAAGGTGTTCCTTGAAGCGGAAGAGACAAGGCATATTACCATCAAGTTGGATAAGTACGCTGTTGGGTATTATGACGAGACTGTTCCCGGTTGGATTGCTGAGGAGGGCGCTTTCAAGGTGCTGATCGGTGCATCGAGTACGGATATCAGGTAAGTTTCACCAACTCTGTTAGAGATAGCGCTAACCGTGTAGACAATCGACGAGGTTCAATGTGAAGGAGTCGTTTACTTGGGTGTTTTGAAGGAAACTGGAGGAGGATGGCTCGTAATGAATTCGACAATGGAAGAATACCAAGAGAGTATCAGCTGTTCTTCCAGTCTAGGCGCATCGAGACATCGTGTGCAGTCAATGTTAAGTCTTCATCGAGTGCTTGTGAAGCTTCTTTCGTCCGAGTGTGAAATGTCCCTGAGCACGCATCAGATAACTGTCCGGACGTGTCCTACCAAGTCACAACAACCGTTGAAACAGTTGCATTTGCATGTCACATCGAGCATGAGTTTATGAAGTGCTGGCTTTCGTCAAAGATGCCATTGAATCTCTTGACAAGTCCAAGGCCAAGGGTCGTGTCCCAGTGTTATTCTCATTCTGTTCTTGCATACGTGTTAGAACAGAACTTCGTCTGTAGTTGACGAAATGGACATACCTCATGTATCAAGATTATACTGCCAACGTGCTCTGGCCACGCACGTCGGCGATTGCGCATTTGTCAAGTCTCTGCGTTTTCACATCCACTATTGCCCATCCTAAGATTTTCGACGTCGCCTTGCTCAATCACGCTCCTCACGGTCCTTGCCCTCGGGGCTACGACTCCTGCTTCGTCCTCTGTTCCGTCCACCAGCGCCTCGTCCACGCCCAGGTTTGCCAGGCGGAGGTCGCACGAACGCAAAGTCCACCGAGATCGTCTGGTCGAGCAACTTCTGGTTATGCGCACCATCAATAGCAGCGCGAGCCTCCTCCAGCGTCGTGTACTCAATCAGCGCATATCCCTAGAATCCCCCCACTGCATCAGCAATCCATCCTCATGTTCAATGTGTTCTACGCGCTTACCTTGACGTAACCGCTTCTTCGGTCGAGGTTCAGGTGCATGTTCTTGATCTCGCCGTACTCTCCGAAAAGATCTTGTAGGGCCTCCTCGTCAGCTTCTTCGTGGACGTTTGTTACGACGATGATCCAGCCTTCGATGGAGCGGACGGCTGTGGCTTTGGTGTGTGTTTGCATGTCGGATTCGTTTCGCGCGGGGGGAGGGGGAGAGCCCGCCTCTACGTCAACGTCCATTTCCACGTCGGCCATTTTGTCGGGAGGTGGTCTGAGGGAGAGAAATTCGATGTCTGGCGAGGAGAGTGCTGTTGTTTGTTTAAGTAACGGGAGCTACCTGCCAGAGTGCAGAGTTCAAGGTGGAATTGCCATCACGTGATGCGAGTAAAGAAACCGAAAGTGTTCATTTTTGAATCATCAATTAATCTATTGGAGGTCATGGTCTCGAACTTACCAGTAGCTTTGGACGTAAGAAGTGCTAAATTTGAGATGTTCTACGTTAATCATGATTTATGGCATTTCAGTCAAATTTGGCATTCTGTATCCTCAGGCACCAACAAGTCGAGGATGTCATCCATCAGCATGAGTCACCCGCCGAGAACTCCAAAGGATTTGCAGCGTTTACGATGTCCGCCTGTTTAGCCCAGTCGCCCATTTACTAGGAGATGCCCACATTCACAGTAGCAGCAGAAATGCCTTGCGCGAACAAATGTTTGTTGTATTGTGACAACTGACACCGGACGCCGAGTAGAGTCGTATGGCTTCTTCGCCATTTCCTTTTTTATTCTTTTCGTAAGGGGGCTCAGCCTATCTTGCGACCCTGACCCAATCCATCACATCATCCCATTACTGAGTGAAGCCAACCATTGCTGTGTTGAACCGTGTCCGAAAGTCAACATTCCCGATACCGCAAATTCCTGTCGTTTGGACGAGTCGTTTATGAGCCGGGGTTGGGGTTCATCTGCATCCGAATCGTCAGCGCCTGTACCTATGTGATGTGATTCTCCGGCTTCGAGTCTGCTCACCTTTCTCTTGCCACCAGTGAGGGTAACGTTGACAAAGCGACGGGTGTACTTGAGGCGCTTGAGGGCACGACCCTTGGGGGTCTTGGACTTCTCCTGCTTCTCAACCTGTAGGAATCGCGATGGTTAGTGATCGAGTTTCGTCGGATTTTCGATGTCGGGGAGCCGTTGTCGTACCTTAGGAGTCTGAGACTTGACCTTGCCTGCGAGAATGTTAGCGACGACGAAAAAGACAAACATCGTGAGGGCGGGTGCAACGTACCGGCACGGGCAAGAGATCCGTGAACTTTACCCATGATGAATGATGTGCTTGGTGGTGATGTGGATGGTAGAGTCGAACGGCTGGCTGAAAGCGCGGTAAGATTTTTGGGTCAATTTGGCAAGTGTGTGGGCGGAAGGAGCGGTTCCTCACGTGAGCGGGGATAAGATGCCCTCGGAATAATTGGGTCCGAGTGGCGGATCAGAATGCTTATGTAATGCGCTTGGAGAGAATCGTCCGCCGGAGAGCGACAGACGTACAATAGCCATACAAGAGCCTGAAATTTTACCGCTTGCTTCTGATGACTTTCAGTTGATCTCAGCGATTATCTTGTGCTGAATTTTGTGTTTCTGTCGCGCTTTGGAGGACCGCGTGTGACGTCATTGAGTAATGAAGCTGGCGGGCGGTTTGAGTTCGAACAGCTCTTAACGATATGGTGAAAAATGCCGATTTCATTGTATTGCCAGGCTCCCTCTCACAATAGTGAATACTTTTGTTTCATATAATAGCACAGCAGTTATGTATTGGTGTAAAGGTTACATCGTGTTATTCGGGCACGCAGGTACAAGATGTTGTGTGGCTCGGCATCGTGTTAGTGGCCATACAGCTGGTCAATGAACATTTTGGGCGTAATAAGGGCTTACATCTTCTTCTTGGCTGCAGTATTGAGGTTCAAGTCGTCTTGAACAACTATCGAGCAATCATGTCTCTGGTGTAAGTCTGCAATCATGAGATATGAGACACCTGTTTCCATGAACCAGCTACCAACTCTGATTTGAGTGGATGATCACATGGAGTTCATATTTATCACCCATACATTATATCAAGTCACATACTCCTTCCTATGATATCCAAACTACATGCAATCAAAGAAAGGAAAGTCTTGGCATTAGATATGAACCTCTAAAGGACTCCAATGCCCATAGAAATAGGGCAACAATTGAACATAATCATCCCTCGACCTCACCGTAGGGTAACCTTATTCAAAAACGCTCCTTCAACCGTCCCACAAGCTAAACCCCACTGTCTGGTCCTCCATCACCAAAGCACATGCAGGCATCTATTAAAATCTCAATCAAGGGTATCATTAACTTACATATCTAATTTGGGCGCTTCAACCATGGCCCATTCATAATGTCTTGCATTGCGTTGGCCGTTGACAAAAAGCACAAGAGTGGATGTTTTGCTATATTTACACAGAGCCCCAGATTCTTACAGGGTCCCAGCCGCGGGCATGGGGATGCGAGAATACGAGAGGGACATGAGGCCACGACCACTGAGACCTGAACCTAACGGAAATATTTCCAGAAAGGAACTGAGACCTTGTCAATGTTTTAGATTGATCGTATTTCCTAAGACTTTTCGGGGAGCTGATCGTGCTGTCTGAGGCTGGCAATTGACTCAATCCCTTCTGGATGTTGGGTGGTTGGAATTGAACTAAACAATACTATGTTGTAGAGAGTTCAGCGTGAGCGGAAGCCATGAATTAAGATAGACTGATATCCAGCGTTGCCTCAATCGTATCAGGTCAAGTTCGTCGTTATCCGTTCCACCGTCTAACCTTCCAGCCCCAGATGCACGGCCCTAACCGTCCCGATCAATTACACAGAAACTCTAGGCGACCGAGAAACAAGAGACTGGTTGGTAGATCACATCATCGCGCAGCTAAAGTCTGTTGGTTAGCCTCTTAGCCTCCACGATACTTTAGCTATCTCTGATAGCGGGGTGGTTGGATCATGTCATGAGCCTTCTAATTGCTTCTTATCATCATCCATTTAATGAGCAGAAGGCTGGGATAGTTACACCATTTGGCTCAAAGAATCAGGGGAACAATTCGAGAGAACAGGCCTGCCACGTTGTGCTACACTTGACACTGAGTTGTATCGTTATCATCCAGCCTCCATCGCGCATAAGCGGTTCATGTTTACCGGCCAGCCCCTCCTCCCAGCTCGCTCTACCCGCACGCTTTCTTCCGAGAGGCAAAGCAGAAAAAGACCTAAACGAGCTTCCATGCAGAACGGCTAAACCCCAGAACGTCAATTGCCTCAGTCGATGAGTTCGTATTCTTCCATACTGAGACAAAGTTTCTATTCGTGTAATTGCCTTATGGTTCCATCGAGCATGTGCTGCTATTTTTGGTGATCCCCTGTCAAGTCTAAAAAAGGATTCGCTCGCTCTGTAAGGCCACATCGTGGATCACCCTCCCGCAGGTGCCGAACCAATGGCCCCGCGATTCGGGCCATGACACTTCAGCCACGCACGTCTTTAGTGCCCACCTTGTGAGTTCGTATTCTAAACCCACTGCTTGATTCTTACGAGCATCTTGCAGCTGAGGGTTTGAGTCTAGCTGAGAAGACAAAGAGTGAGGGGAAGAATTGGGAAGCATCAATGGTGATATCGAGGGTCATTCAAACAGAATAGCCAGTGACAATTGAGAATCATCGTGGATGCAGACATTGTTGGGTTGTCTTGCAGTGATTGACCCCAGTCAGGCTCTCAATGGACCTTGGATGATACTCCAGAAATCGATGCCGCCATCCCGCAATGACAATCGCATCACGCACACAAACAGGCCTGATCCATTGTCGCTAGGTTGAGATATCATGATCCTTGGCCCAGACCGTCCCGCTGCTCAGCTGGTTTGGGACTGGCCATCTGCAGCTAGTCAAAACTAACTGTAAGCCCAGAAAAAGAACTGCCAACCTGCAGCTGGGATATCGGCATCTTCTTGCTGGCTTGATTCTAAGCTTGTTTGGTTGATTGCCTGACACTGCTTGGCCGGGCCACTCCAGATACAAACCTCAACGCGGAGAGCGGAATTGTCTGGAATTTTCGAT